TAAATAACTATTTTGGTTAACATGATTATCGAATAGCCTCTGTCCCTCATACATCTTAATTGTAGCAAAGAAGTAACAAGGTAACAAGGTAACAAGTTAACAAGGCTCGAGTGCATTATCACTTTTTTTTTCTAAAATCACTGTCGATTTCTTGTCTCGTGTCATATATAGAAAATAAAGAATTTATTTGAGTTTATCATCAATATAGGAATTACTACATTTAATTTCGTTTAGCTCTGTAACTTGTTGGCAAGTGAAGTTAGAGTTATACGAACGCTCTGCAAAAACGCTGGTTTTGAATCCGGGAGCCCTAGTCTGACAAGCCCTGTGCTGCGTAGTTTTCGACCACTCATGTTTTGTGAAGATTTAGACAGGTCACACAGATCAATAGGGTATTTTTCAGATGTTTGAACATATGTTAATAACAAAGCTGTTTATTTCACCTGTTTTTTTATTTAATATATAAAGTGCCTTAAATATCTTAGAAGTTGCCTTAAAGTAGTAAAAGAAATAGGAATTTATTTGTTTATTTTATGTTTAAAGGATGCTAGTCTTGCAGTATTTTCTTTATTTTGTATTGAATTAATCTTAGTATTCCTATCTCACACTGTACCTATTTGATATCTGTATATGTTCTACTAAATATTGTGTACAATCGTATCATTCCAAATTAGTGACGATTTATTTTCTTAAAGCTTTTCACTGCACTTGCTTGTGCCTGTGTGTATGTGTGTGTGTGTGTGTGTGTGTGTGTGTGTGTGTGTGTGTGTGTGTGTGTGTGTGTGTGTGTGTGTGTGTGTGTGTGTGTGTGTGTGCAAGTGAGCTGTTTTCGTCCAGCAAGTTTGGATACACTGTTTATGCACTCCAGCTTGTGAACTTGACAACAAATTTTCAACTGACTGGGTTTTACTTGAGGCAGTGGGCTGCCATCAGCATCTCTTTCCTTGCAGCCTCCGTGATGATCATCAACGTCGACGCCTCTGGTTCTCGACACGCCTTCGAGGTCAACGCTTCGGACAAGGTCGAGGTCCTTCTGTGGCAGGTCATTTCGAAGGGGATACCTGCGCGAGGCCGACGTCTTGAGTACAGAGACAGGGTTCTGGACGACGACGAGACTTTCTCCCACTATGGGATAAGGGAAGGAGATACAGTGCAGTTTGTCCGATACTGTAAGGGAGTGCACCGCGCCGCCCGCGGATCCCTTCTCTCTGTGGCGACCGACTCGGGAAATGTTACCAAGATGGTCGTCGACGAGGAGAGCTCCGTGCGCGAGGTGAGGGACGTGGCGGCGAGGGATGCGGGCGTGAGCGCGAGCAAGCTGCAGCTCATTGCAGGAGGCGTCGAGATGCAGGAGGACCGGAGGCTGAAGGACTATGACATCACCGGCGACGCTGTGGTGTGGATGGAGGTCGAGGGAAAGAGGAAGGGACGCGCAGGAGGGAGCGGAGCCAGCCACAGCAGCGAGGCCGGCTGGTTTAGCGCTTGCTCGGTTATATAAGTGTACGGTCAAACTACCCATAAATTTCACTGGAATCCAGTGATTTTCTTTGGGCTGGAACCAACCCACCCATCCGTGGTGTTCAGGCTGCGAAAACAACTGTCGGTTTTGTGGCATCAACATAAATCGCAGAAACTCGCTATGGATCCCGCAACCTTTTCCTTAACTCTTGCTTCTCTTTCATGTTTCTGGGGTTCTAACATTTTCTAGGAAGGATGAAATGTCTTCAGAATTCAACATTTCAAATATTCATGGGATCTGCGGTTTCAACTTGAAGTTGTTGACTATGCGCTTGTTTATATTCGTCAGTCAAATGAGAATCCATGGTCAATGCATTTGTTTATAATTTCATTCGTGTTTCAGTTTAAATATATATATATGTAAATATCGATGTAAAACTAAATATGGATAATTCTTAATTATCTAAAATATAAAATATTTGTCGTTTGAAATTAAAACAAGTGCATACCATGAATACTATAGATTCTCAACGTGTGCAAAATTTTTCCATCGATGGAAGAGTGGGTATCGGAATGAAAGCGCAGGCGAGAGTCCATTGGATTGAGTCCATCGATGGGCATATTCCATTGAAAATCGTTGGATTTCATGAATCTATGGGTAGTCTGACCATCCCTTAATGTCATCCTGGGCGGTTTTTGTGCTGCTATTATTGGTTGCAGTGTATATGGTGATACATACATATTTGTTTCTATTAGTAAATACACACTTGCAAACGCACACTCTTGAATATACTAGCAAGACCCAGAATGAACAGTATACTTGAGCATTTAGACAACAAAACCCAACAATAGGATTGATTCAGAAACTCGAATCTTATGTCAGATGTACTGAGGTATTTATGTGAGATAGAATCCCTCTCTGTGTCAATTATTTATTTCTATTATTTATTTATTTATTCGAAGTAGAGAAGTATGTAATTTCCTTATGTTCTATGATAATTTCAATAAGTATGAAAGATACTTTCAATAATTTTGACGTATAAATAAAATTTTAATTAAATTTCTCGCATGAAATTTTATTAAATTTCTCGTATAATCTCTTACGTATTTCGTGTTCTCTCCAACGTTTGCCTTGCCTCCCCCTCTCATATGGTTCTTGCGTTCCCTTGCGAGGACTTAGAGTTATGCACATGACATGCGTAATGTTACTGATGTCACTCATGTCTCCGTCCACAATAGTCTAGAGTCGCCAACTCTGTTAAGCTTCTTGCACGCAGACTCGCAGCTGCAGAATTGGTCCTTATGTTTAACCAAAACTGTATAGTTAAGACAACATGGAATGTGCTAACGATTTCTTATATATATATATATATATATATATATATATATATATATATATATATTATATATATAATATACATAAAGACTGCTACTAATGCAACTACGGTAGGTATTAGTAGCCGTCTTTATAGATATATCAAAAAGAAATCGTTAGCACAGTCCAAGTTATCCTAACCATACAGTTTTAGTTAAACACAAGGACCAATTCAGCGCGCGGGAAGAAGGCTGTACAACCCCCCAGAGTTGACAGACCCCCACCCCACCCCTACCCCCCTCTCTCTCTAGATTTTTATACATCGTTATATTTTGAATTCAAGATTTCCTTCAAGCTACTGCCTAAAACTCCATGGCATCCGCCCCAGGTGAAGATGGAATTATCTAGAGTGTCCTTCGGTTTCAAGTCAAGTTACCTGGTAATCCCCTTTTGCACCTGTACAGATTGAGTTTGTGAAAAAAAACTGTAGTCCTACCTACTCTATTACCCATAATAATCGATATCATTTTGATGTTTCGAAGACACAACTCCACATATGCGAACATGGTGCACTTTCACACTGTCATCATGGCTGAGATACTGTCACCTGGTTATATGGATTAAGGAAAGTTCCCACCCATCAGATACCTTTAAGAGGAATGGTGGTTAGCAAAAAAAAAAATAATAATAAATAAAATAAAAATAAAAAAAAAAAAAAAAAATTTATATATATATATATATATATATATATATATATTTCTTTTCTTCTTTTTCCTATTATATCAAATCTTGCGCCACATTTGTTGCAAAGCAGATTCTTTTTTTTTGTAATTCAAAAAGTAACCCTTACAGATTATTTGATTTTGATGTTTCATCTATATGTTCTCGTCCCATAAGGAAGTTCACAGGGAATACTACCCATATCATACAAAAAAGGAAATGATATGTAACACCCAGAAATAAGACAAGCAAGTAGATGAAATAATGGAATAATAAAAATCTCACATTGACTGGCATCTGCTTTTCTGTGCTTGCTTCCACCTGATTGGTTCCGGCAAGATAAATTATCGTGACATCAAAACAGCCATTGCATGTGATTTTACAACGAAGTCATGCCAAGGTAGCATCTCGTGTTTTGTGTCGTGGCATCAGTTATGGGTTATGAGCCTGGTGGTACCCGCAGCCGTCCACCCTGAAGTGGAAGGTGCCGTGCGCGGCAAGCGGAGAGGCCGTACAGAAGAGGGTGTGAGTCTAAGTGAGGGAGAGGTCAAACTGGGTCGCCTTTTATCTGACCTAGTGATGGTAGCATGGCTTAGGGTGTATCATCAGAATCACCTATGCGGCGTGTATAAATTATGTTATACTGCTCGGCCACCTACTCTTGCCTCAAGGGCGACCCATTGTTGGACCCGATCTGCTGATCATATCGTTCTCACGTTATTGTCCTTGATCATCCTCGTGTTGCTCCTCCTTGTCGACCTCTTCTTCCTAGTCTTCGGTGCATTCATTCGTCCTCGACGTCCAGACGTCCTACAAAGGTTTTGCCTGGGTCCTACTCGACCTCCGATTGTCCAGACTTCCTCGTAGTCCTCGTCCATGTGCTACTCGGCGGCGTATTCGTCCACACGTCCGCGCAGATCTCGTCCAGGTCTTTTTCGGCTTCTTGTTCGTCCAGAGGTCCTCGTAACCTGCGTCTGGGTCTACGGGCGTCAGGATAGGGGCATCCTTTCCGGTATCTGAGGGCGGCTGATACCTGCGCTGATGAGCTCCTGGAGTTTGACCAGATCTATGGGCGTCCTGGCAAGCGGCGCCCTTCCACTTCTTCCTGGGGCGGCTTAACACCTGCACTAACGATTTCTCGTCCTCAGGCCTATGGTGATCTTCTGAGAATGTCCTTCCCACGGCATTCCAAGGCGACTGTGTTTGTAGCCAGGTCCTCCTTCATGCTATCTAATGAGATACCTCATCACTCTTTATGCCTACAACTACAATATCAGCAAACTCTATTCATGAAAAGTTTCAGTATCTTCTATTCTGCGTGAATGAGTGGGTATGTGAGTATGAAGAGCGCAAAATGAGAACAATCCCACACAAAGAATGAATCACAAACACAAATATCAACGTTCATTTTAAGAAATGTTATGATTGTTAATTATGTTAATACATTATTTCAACTATCACATTGAACTCAACATTAAATGCTATGTGACTTAACGTACGCAATTATTCATGGTGACATGAAAATTCTTTGTAGGCTTCAGCAATGCAAACCTTCCCAGTTCAGGAATGTGTGATGCTTTCCCAATTGTGTTTATTCCTAATAACAAATTCTGATATACTGTGGTAATTATGTCTAGCTTACGCATGTCAGGGTACGTTGGACTTCATTGACAGGTGTGTGTGGGGGGGGGGTCCCTTTTACCCATAGCCCATATTGCCGAACAAAATAATGTGAGCTGAAGGACATGGGAAAATCTATAGTTACCGGCTCTACTCTGCAGCCTGTGGTGGGACTCGGGACTAATTCACGAAATCACACGACTGCCTGGGATTTCCAGAACATACAAGCGACCTAAGGTGAGAAGGGCGTGGTTAATAAGCCAATAATTATTCTGGCTCAAAACCCAGGTTCTACAATTTTCACTGCTCCCGCTTCTGACCAGCAAAACCAACGTAAGAGTGACTGCACATTATATATGGCTTGACACATATGCGAGAGAAGGAAGGGAAGAGAAAAGATTGGCCCATAACATGTACTTCCATGGTTTTGGAGACATCTTGTTTGTCATATCACTTGAAGCATTGGTGAGCTTCTTTCAGAGACGTAGTTCTAGATGGCGTACGCAAACAACTTTGCCACCAGCTATAAAAGTTATAAACGCTATTAACTTTCTATATTGAAACTGATTCGCTTAATAAACCTCATGGGATACTTTTATTGATCGATGTACGTGAAAGTAAATGCATCCGGCTTTGACCAACCTAATAGCCGGAGGAAGGATCATTATTATCCCTATCAGATACAATATTCGCCTTTCCAAGACATAGTGACTTTCAGTGCGGAAGGAAGGCACATTACTCTATCTGGATTCGAGTCATCTCGGGTATTTTTCCTTGCGCCACACAACAGCCCTACAGCTATACCCTACATTCAAGTACAGCTGTTATGAGAAAAAAAAATCATTCAGTGAGTTTGTTTGAGTTATTCTTATAACGGGGCGAGTCAGTGGACGTCAATATATTCCCTTAACCAAGAGGTGCCTCAAGCCAACCTGGTGGGTCGCCGGCACCCGAGTTGGCTGAGCGGCATCGCTTCGGATTTCTTATTGTTATGATTAAAGCCATAGAAAAAGTAAGTGTAAGGATGATAAGCCGTCGTTCTGCTACAACCAGCTTGCATCTTTAAACCCATCGAATTTGGTATCGATTCCCAATGAACAAATAACCACAATGTGAATGCACCATTATTATCATTATTATCATTATCATTATTATTATCATCACTCTCATTGCCATTGTTGTTATAGTGATATTATAATCCTTGTGATCATCATTATTATAATTGCATTTTCATTTACATTATTTTTAAAATGGTCACCATAATATGAAAGATAGTGTTAGCTATAATGATATAGCATAGTAGTTTGAAAATCAACTAGTTAGTTGTTTTAGCACGATTAAGTTATAACCAATAACTGTAGCATTTGATGTGGCATCGGGTGTTAACATTCAGATTTCAATTACCATTTTAAATATGCTGTTTCTTTTACAAGTAAGTAAACGACAGAGCCACAGGATTCGTGTACTCGCTTATATAATTCAAGAATCCATCATAATACAAAAGACATAAAGTGCATCTTGGTTTGATTTGTTTATTTTCTCCGATAAAACAAAGGCTATACTCATTTCCATAGTTTTTTTTCCGCGCATTTTCACTGAGTATCGTTCAGGGTGCGATCTGCTAGCGTCTTCTATGCTTTCCTTGTTTACTTTAGTGAAATTGCAAACATAAGGGTCAGATCACGAAATAATACTCGTTTCCTGTATTTGACAGTTCAGAAAATAAGGAAGTCACCTGATATCCTTTTTTTTTCGCTTTCCTACTGTAAAAAAAAAAAAAAAAAAAAAAAAAAACTTGTTTAGCTGAGAAAAAAATCTGCAGCCTTGTAGTTCCCCGCGCGCGAGCTTACACATACGTACACTCAAGTAATGTAGCAGCAAACAAGAAACACTTCCCTGTGTATTGAATGTCAACTGTTGTACGCCTATGGGTGTGTATGTCTATAAATCTTCCTTTGTGTTTGTGTAGATATGTGTGCACATATCTATTTCCATAAAAAAGATATGTTCAAACCACATATCTTTTATTTTATGTAGTAAGAAAGATTATATTCACTTCAACGGCAATGTGCCTTGTCTAGTTACCAAGTCGCTTTACAAAATAAAGTGGTAATACTGCTGGTACAATAATATTACAGCCTATAAAAGCAACACGGCTTCTAACAACAAAATCGCAACTTTGTTTTTCAAAAATAGCATTAATAAGAGGACTTATGTAAGAACAGCAATTCAAATGGTAGAACAATATTACAAATGTCCTTATAAAAAAGATATCTCAGGGGTTGCTGAGTGAGTCAGCTGGCTTACTTTAGGGTTTGAAGGAGCGACGAAGACAAGTTGTTAACGCGCAGAGAGGTTGACTGGCATGCTTGGGTACTGGAGATGAG